AGAGAGCCTTGTTCAGGAGCAGGCTGGAGTTACTCTGATCTAAAGAAAGTGGTTTTTGGTGCTCAAACTCTGCTTTCATGCTGGTTTTTTTTCCCCTCCTGGGGTTAAACACACGAGCGTCCCTTCCAACGCAGTCAAAGCCGTGGTTTGCACAAAACTCAGACTTGCGGTGCATTTTACTTCCATGCACAGCATCTTTCGTCTTAACACGTTACGGAGCGATTCAGTGGGTAAAGAAAAAAAAGAAAAAAGCAGGTAAGTGCTCTCTTTTAAAAGGCAAACGCACACGTTTAAAGCGCTGCACGACCGACCCGCCGGGGCCAACGCATTTCTTTGCGAGGGTGCAGAGATGCCAATAGGGTGAACGGGGCGAAACGATCCAGGCGACGAACCCGCAGCATTTGCACACTTCCAGCTGAAATCTGTGCCTGCCATCTGGCAAAAAATAAGCACAAGAGGGGGAAGAAAAAGGAAAACAAAACAAAACAAAACAAAGCCAACCCTTTGCCAAGAGTTCACGCCGAAGCGCCGGGGACCGCGGAGGCTAGGGTTTGTTCGATCGCTGAAAGATTACTTCCCCGTCCCGGGTCACCGTCACCTCTTGACCTGCCCTGATTACCTTCCAAAGGAGGTTATCGAGATACAAGCCTAACAGAGGATTAAAGGAAACTTAAAATAAAAACACAACGCGCCCCTTCCCCGCCGGGCGGCTGCCCTCCCCCAGGAAAACATCCTTGCTTTGTTAACCTGACAGTTCGCTCTAGGTGTTGACACAACCCTCCATCTTCGCAAAGCTTAACGTCAACAAATCAGCGTGTTTGGAGTAGCCCTGTCAATGCGATTTACATTAACTTGTCTAACAAGAAATAAGAACAACAATCGGCCATCAAGGACAAAAGGCTTTTTCGGTCTTTCTTTCCAAAGTAGGGATGCTGGAAATGTTACTTTCGGAGGCCCGCGGCCCTTTCCTTGCTGCAAACCAGCAAACCACCTTTAAAAAAAAAAAAACCAAAGGAGGGGAACAAGCGTATTTTCTTTTAAAGGAGGCCCCGAACATCACGTATTAATAAGCGCAGCAGCAGCAACCACCCCTCACTGGTTAATTCAGGAAGAGGGCAGCCGCGAAGCCAAACGTTAACTCTGCTTTCGCTTCCACCAGCACGTTATCTGCTTGGAGACCT